TAGGGATGGGGGTTGTGAGGGTAGGGATGGGGGTGTCTTTAGACACCATGTGAGAAAGTAAGAAAGCCCAGCACAAGCAAGCCAGCAGACCAGAGACACAGGAAGGAGGTAAAGGAAAAGCTACTCTTTCTGGGATAGAGTTCAGACAATGGGCAGGTGTAATGCTACATGGCAGAAGCTCTGCAAATGACAGGGTCTCACTATGTAGACCAGGTTAGCCACAAATTTACATCAGTCCTCCTGCATCTGTCTTCTAAATGCTGGGATTACAGGCCTAAGCACTCTGCCTGGTTCAGAAACTAGCCTTTACTAATGCAGATAGTACCATATACTTAAAAAAAAAAAACAACAACTTTTTTTTCTGTGTATAAGAGATTTGCCTACAAATACGTCACATCAGAGGAGGCATTGGATCACTTGGAACTGGAGACACAGATGGCTGTGGACCACATAGGTGCTGAGAAGTGAATCTGGGTCCTCTGCAAGAGCAGCCAGTGCTTTTAACCTCTGAGCTATCTCTGTCATCCCCACCCCCTCCACATCATACACTTTCCTTGATTTTTGACACAGACAAGGTCTCTCTACAAATCCCTGGTTCTCTTGGAACTCACTATGTAGACCAGGCTGGCCTTCAACTCACAGAGACTCATAGCCTGTCTCTGCCTCCTAAGTGCCAGGATTAAAGGCGTGTACCATCACACTTGGCTGCAACATATACTTTCAACAAGTAAAAAAAAATTTTTTTTTGATTAGTTATTTCATCATTTAGTTCACTGGCTGTTTTATATACTTTAGTTTTTAATTAGTTTTTTTGTTGTTGTTGTTAAACTTAGCTGTTTATTTTAAGGTGAAGCCTTGCTATGTTGCCCAGGTTGGCCTTAAACTCCTGAATTCAAGAGATCTTGCCTCAGCATTCCAGGTAGCTGAGGCTTCGGATATGTGCCATTACACTTGGCTAGTAATTGTATTTTATATGTCTGTTTTGCAGTTCTGGGGACGGAACCCAGGGCCTCACATACATAGGCAAATACATGCCCACTGAGCTATATTCCCAGCGTGAATGGATGACATTCCGAATGCATGTTGATTATAGCTTACAGGAGTGACTCATGACGCACTGTGAATGGGTTGTGTCAGTGAAAAATGGTTGTTGTTGCTGTTTACTTAGCGTCACCCAAGGACCTGGCCTCAGTGTGAGGCCCCTGATGCTCTTCCCTCCTGTCCAGGAAGGACCTCAGCCTAAGACGGAAATGCTTATGTGCATGTGGTTGACCCCACTAGACAGAAATGCTTTGGCATAAGCACAAGTGTACTTCTTTCCCAAGGCGGAGCTCCTGGGAGCTGAGGCCATGCTTTAGGTTAACCTGGTGTATTTTGCTGAGCCCACAGATGTTTCGGATAGTTTAGGCGACATCACAGCATCAGTTGAGGCAGTGGAGCCAGAAAGAAATGAAGACTCACAATGCCGGGCTCCTGCAATATGAGAAAGCCCTAAGTAGAGGATATCAAAAGCTGCTGCAATCCACTCCCAGATAAGTCCTTCCAACCGCCACCTTGAACAACCACAGGGCCCTCGGGGCAGGGCCCTCGGCGCAGGGCCCTCGGCACAGGCGCAGGGTACGCCCTACCCTTCCAGAGGTGCGCCATGCTCGTCATCGTCGTCGTCGTCGTCAGAGTCGGTCTCGGATGAATCGTCGTCGTCATCATCATCGTTTTCACTGAAGGCCCGCTGAGGGGTCAGCTGTGAGGGCTTCTTCTTCTCCTGGGCAGGGCAGGCGGGAAACATTCATGTAAAGAGGAATTTAATTCCTGTGCCTGACTTGGCACTATTCTCATAATGCCCGCAGACCTCTGCCACCTGGTCACTAGAAAGAAAGGCAGCACCATCCCCAGGGGCCTGAGAACCTTCTCCTGCTACGTAGAGCCCCACATTCTTCAACCATAATTCTCTACTAGAAACAGGGTACAAAGTCTACTCAGCTTATAGCTAGGAGCCTATTACTTGATCTTGGGAGCTATGCATAAAATTTACCCAAAAGCCTCATACCCCAAATTTAGGAAGAGGGGGTGGGGCTGGAGAGATGGCTCAGAAAAAAGAGCACCCAAATTCCATTCCCAGAACCCATGCCAGGAGTCTGGAATCTGAGGGCACCTGCACACACACACACATGCACACACTCACATGCTCACACTCTCCCACCCCCCCCAACTCCCATACCCACACGCCCCCCACCCACAAACTCACATTCATATGTTCATATGCCCACACTCCCCTACACACACACATTCACATGCCCACTCCCTCCCCCACATACTCACATGCCCATACTCCCCCACACACCCCTCTGCACACACACTCACAAACCCATACTCCCTCCGCACACTCACATTCATACATAATTCAGGGTAAAAAAAAAAATCACAGAAGGGGGAAGAGAAAGCTCAGTGACAAAGAACACATACTGCTCTCACAGCAAACAAGACTTTAGCTCCCAACACCTATAAAAGGCAGCTCACAATCCCCCTCCCGTCACGCCAGCTCAAGGGGATCTGATCTCATCTGGCCTACATGGGTACCTGTACTTATGTGCACAGACACACAACATACTTAAAAAGATAAAATAAATACTTGAAAAGGGTAACAGCTTCAGATTATTTAAGGAGTAGGAAAAGATGAAGTGGAGGAGACAAACTTTATGGGCTCAAGGTACTCATAAAGATCACAGAGAGGGCTGGAGCACTGGCTGCTCTTTCAGAGGTCCTGAGTTCAATTCCCAGCAACCACATGGTGGCTCACAACCATCTGTAATGAGATCTGGTGCCCTCTTCTGGCCTGCAGGTAGGCATACATGCAGAATACTATATACATGATAAATAAGTAACATCTTTTTTTAAAAAAAAAAAAAGTCACAGAGAAACCTAGCATCTAATTTGTAAGAATGTTTGGAGTAAGGGCTAGAAAATATCACATGAATAAAGTAGATGCTCAACCTCAACCTACTTCTCATAAGTAGCTCTGAGAGTAGGGCTTCCCGTTTTTTGCTCAGTGAAACCTCCTTCATGGTGTATCTGGCTTGTCCACAGGCCCCTTCCCCTGTGAGTGAGTGTAATGACTACACATTCTAGTTCAACACGAGCGGCTCCTGTGTTCTCAGCATTATAGCCTAAGTTTCTGTGGTTTCTTTTTTTTTTTCCATCATTATCGTTTTTTTGTTTTGTTTTGGCTTTTGGTTTACAAGACAGAGTTTCATTGTGTAGCCCTGACTAGCCGTCCTGGAACTTGCTCTGTAGACCAGGTTGGCCTTGAACTCAAGAGATCCACTTGCTTCTCCCTCCTGTGTGTACTAAACTGGAAAGATAAACCAGCCTTGACCACCTACTACACGAAGTTTAAAAGAAGATAGTGTGGCTTCACCAACTGTGGAGATCAACCTAGGAAAAGGGCCCACTTTTCCTGATTGCTTCTCCAGAGTCAAGCTTTGAAGACCCCTGATACATTGTCAGATGGCTTTCTATCCCATAGACAAATGCCTATCTGTGTATAAGAAAATAAGACAATGCACTAGTCAGAGTGGGGCCTGAAAACCCTTCTAACACTTTAGTGTATTCAATCTGTATCACTTCAGCTTCTTGCACTACTATAAATATTCTTCATATAAATTTCCAAGTTGTTTTGTTCTTTTTAAATCTACTTTATGTGCACAGGTGTTTTGCTTACATGTATGTCTGTGTACAACATGCGTATTTGGTCCCAGTGGAGGACAGATGTTGCAGTCTCCTGGGACTGGAATTACAGACAGCCATGCAGATGCTGGGAACTGAACCTGGGTTCTTTGGAAGAGCAGTTAGTGCTCTTAACTACTGAGCCATCTCTTCAGCCCATTTGTTTGTTTTATGGTGCTAGGGATTAAAGCCAGGACCTTAGGTATGCTAGGCAAGAGTCAATCTCCAGTCACCAGTGCCACTGTTCAAAGAACAAAAAAAAGTGAGGTGTTTTGTTGTTGTTTATGAGACAGAGTCCTTCTGTAATCCAGTGTGCGCTGGAACTCACTATGTAGTCCAGGCTGACCTTAAATTCTTGATCCTTCTGCCTCAGCCTCCCTAGTGTTGGGATTATAGACATGTGCCACAACAGCCAAGGACAAATGAGACATGAGCAATGGGCCATAGGGGAAGCTGAGCATACAAGGGCTATGCGGGGCACAGGTGCCACTCCTGACTGGCTAGACTACGGAGTCCCCAGCCTTTCCTCAGCAACAGGTGGCTCTGCTAGAGGATAAGAGCTGAGGACATCTGCGTCTTACGACATCGACGTTTCACAGAATGCTGGCATCACCACAGCTGCTGGGAAGATAATCATGCCTGGGCCAGTAACTCCAAACTTGCTTAGTGCATGAATTCCCTAGACTGCTTGTCAAAAATATAAAGTTCCTGCCAGGCAGTGGTGGTGCAGACCTTTAAATTCAGCACTTGGGAGGAAGAGGCAGGGGGATCTCTGAGTTAGAGGCCAGCCTAGTCTACAGAGTGAGTTCCAAACAGCCAGGGCTACACAGAGAAACCCTGTCTCCAAAAAACAAACAAACAAATTATATACATACACACACACACACAAGTTCTGAGGTAGTACCGCTGAGATTCTGGAAGGGAATTAGGAATCTGTATTTTTATGTTTCACTATTTTATTATATATGTATGGGTGTTTGCCTGTAGGTATGTCAATGTACAACCTTCATGTCTGTTGCCCAGAGTGGCCAGAGAGAGCATAGATTTCCTGGAACTAGAGTTACAGAAGGTTATGAGCTGCTATCTGGGGGCAGGGACTCTTTCTCTAAGAGCAACCAGTGCTCTTAGCCACTGGGACATTTACATTTCTCTAGTCAAGAAATGAACACACACACATTCTTGTTTTGTTTTGAGAGAGTTTCTCTGTGTAGCCCTGGCTGTCCTGGAACTTGCTCTGTAGACCAGGCTGGCCTCAAACTCACAGAGAGATCCGCCTGCCTCAGCCTCCCAGTGCTGGGATTAAAGGCGTGTGCCACCACCGCCCAGCTGGAATCTGTATTCTTTTTTTAAATATTTATTTATTTACTTATTATGTATACAATATTCTGTCTGTGTGTATGCCTGCAGACCAGAAGAGGGCACCAGACCTCATTACAGATGGTCGTGAGCCACCATGTGGTTGATGGGAATTGAACTCAGGATCTTTGGAAGAGCAGGCAATGCTCTTAACTGCTGAGCCATCTCTTCAGCCCTGGAATCTGTATTTTTAAGAGCAAGTATCCTAGTTGATTTTTATAATCAATAAGCTCTGAAACACGGTCCCATTTTAGATGAAACTCCCTGCCAGCTGTAGGAACTGGAGAGATTGCTCAGCCAGCAGTTAAGAGCACTGACTGCTCTTCCAGAGGACCCGGGTTCAATTCCCAGCACCCACATGGCAGCTCATAGCTGTCTGTTAACTCCAGTTCCAGGGTTTCTGACATCATCATACAGACATATATAAATAGCTAGATGTAGTGATAGTCTGTGTGAGGGATGGGCTCATCAGTAAATGTGAAGGCATGAGGTCAATGCTCGGGGAATGTCTCCTGCTGACTCGGTGTCAATTCACACCAACCGCACCAAGCCCAAACCCTGAAGACACTGTCGACTGACTATACTGCACCTTGTCGTTTTCCTCTTCGTACTCATCGCTGCTGTTGTCAGCCATAGTCTCCTTAGGAAGACCTGCAGAAACCAGGGGGCCTAGGGAGAAGAGTTTTTCATTAGTTAGTGTTTAAATGATTGTTTCTTCTCTCTCTTTTTCTTTCTGCTTTATTTTTTATTTTGTCAAGACAGGGTTTCTCTGTGTAGCCCTAGCTGTCCTAGAACTCACTGTAGACCAGGCTGTCCTCAAACTCAGAGATCCACCTATATCTGCCTCCCAAGTACTGCGATAAAAGACATGAACCGTGGGGTCTGGAGAGATGGCTCAGAGATTAAGAACACTGCCTGCTCTTCCAGAGGTCCCGAATTCAATTTCCAGTAACCACTTGGTGGCTCACAGCCATCTGTAATGAGATCTGGTGCCCTTTTCTGGCCTGCAGGAATACATGCAGGCAGAACACTGTATACATAATAAATAAATCTTAAATAAAGAGAAAAAAGGGCTGGAGAGATGGCTCAGTGGTTAAAAGCACCGCCTGCTCTTCCAAAGGTCCTGAGTTCAATTCCCAGCAACCACATGGCGGCTCACAACCATCTGTAATGAGATCTGGTGCCCTCTTCTGGCCTGCAGGTAGAGTACTGAGAATACTGTATACATAATAAATAAATAAATCTTTTAAAAAAAATAAAGAGAAAAAAGTATAATCAGATGTAAGCGTAACCAGCATAAAAGCATGTTAAATGAATTCTAAGTCAAATACATGCAGATTAACATTTTTTTGACTTATTAAATTACCCAGCTGAAAATAAGTCCACAGCTGGCAAGAGCTACATTTGTTCAAGTCACTGGGCATGGTAGTTTACAGTACTCGGGAGACTAAGACAGAGGGTATCTCAAATCCAAGGCCGGCCTGCGGGCATAATGAGTACCGGGTTAGCCTAGGCTCCACTACATAAAACCCTATTTTGAAATAAACACATAAAATCCAAACATGATGGAGTAAAAAAAAAAAACCTAGTGACTTAAGTAATACTCAACATGCTCACTTCTGCAGCACATACACTAAAATTTAGCCAGGCATGGTGGCACACACCTTCAATCCCAGCACTCAGGAAGCAAAGGTAGGCAGATGTCTGAGGTCAAGACCAGCCTGGTCTACAGAGCGAGTTCCAGGACGGCCAGGGTTGTTACACAGAGAAACCCTGTCTTGAAAAGCAAAAAAAAAAGATATAAGCTCTCACAAACTCCAATCCCCAGAAACTATAAGCCTCAAATAAACTCTTCTATAAGTTGTCTCCACCATGTTGTCTTGTTATAGCAACAGAAAGTAACTAAGACAGTGGTGACAGTTATCACATAACGTAAAGCCATGTAACTTTGCAAAAAAAGTGGCTAAAATAGTATTCTATACCATGTACATTTTACCACAATAAACACTGAGCTGGGGATCACACTTTTTGTTTATTTTGGTAAAATATACATAGGTGTGATCCCAACTCTGGACTCAAACCTGAGCAAGCCTAGTGATTCCTTAATGACAGTCTATCTTTCAGTGGTGCCAGGTCTCTCTATTCACGCCACAGTCCAAACCGTTAGCATCTCAACCCAGCCACTACTACGGTGCCTCCCTCACTGCCTCGTTTCCATTTGTGAACCCTCCAATAAACTCTACTCAGAACAACAACCCAGCATTCTGCTTGTGACGCCTCTTACCTCCTTCCTGATCAGACCACACAAACCCCCTCCCCCGCTTGTCATGCACTGCTCTTTCCTCGTGAGCCTTCCCTGGCCACAAACCGCTCTCACCCATCACCATTCCATAGCAGCCAACAATCTGCCTACATCAGTGCATACATGATATCTGTAATAATGACTGCCAGTGAGTTAGCTCGTCTTCTAAAATTACAAGCAGCAGGACGGCAGAGACATGTCTTTTGTTTGCCACTGTATGACCCAGCGCGAACATGGCACATAGCAAGCATTCAAAAATGTTAGGTGAGCGGGGTGGTGGCGCATACCTTCTTTTTCTCAGCAGTGGAGAGGCAGAGGCAGGCAGATCTGAGTTGGAGGTAGGTGAATAAATGGATGGCGTCAAGACCTCTGATAACACTGTTGCAATGATGGTTGGGGCGGCAGGTAAAGGGCGGGCTACGGCACATCTTAATGAGTTAAAGACAAAACATAGCAGTGAACGGGCTGGAGAGAAGACTCCATGATTAAGAGCACTGGGTGATCTTCCATAAGGACCAGAGTTCAATTCCCAGCACCCACACGGCAGCTCAGAACCATTTGTAACGCCAGTTCAAGGGGATCCAATGCCCTCTTCTAGCCTCCGAGAGCACCAGGCATGCAGGTGGTACACAGACAAGCATGCAGGCAAAAAAAAAAAACAAAAACAAAAACAAAACAAAACAGAGAAAAAAAACCCATCCATACACATAAAATTTTTTAAATAATAATTAAAGCAAAACAAAACACAGTGAACCTGGGGTAGAATCGACACAGAGAGGTAACATGGAGCAAACAGTGATAGAGGATAGAGCTTGCACTGGAAAATGCTGCAATCCGAGGAACTGATATTTTCCCTCAAGTAGTGAGAAAACGAAATCAGCAGCAAGTGCTTGACTCTCAGAGTTAACGCTTGCCACACAACCTAGGAGCTTACTGAATACAAACATGAACGCAATCTGTGTTAGAGTTTTGAAATCCACCTCCCTTCTTGTCTCTCTTTTCTTCTTCTCTTACCTTGATGTCCTGGGGTTGGAGTGCTACTACTGGCGACCTCTTCTGAGTCGTTAATCTCTAGACGCTCATCGTAAGTCTGGTTTTCAACGATTTTGGTCTAAGCAAAAGGAGGTATGTTACATAGATAGCTCCTACCCTGAGATATACATTCAGGGCTCCGCGAAGAGATGCATTCACCCCCCCCCCACACACACACACGCCAAAACTTTCCCCAAAGGAAAACTTCCTGACTCCAGAGCAAGCAGCTAACCAGCTTCAGCTATTATTTAGCTAGTTAGCACTGGCTTGAGTCGAGAGAACTGCGGAAGAAAAAAGACATCCAATCTTTTCCAGGAGCAAACCAAAAGCTGCATATAAGATGCACTCAAGGGAAGTACAGCATGCATAGGTAGACTGAGATCGTCTCAGGTTTGGTCAGTTTTCCCACAGCTATTAAGGCTTCTGGCGGGGGAAGGGGGTGTATAAAAATGGGACTGGACTATAGAGGTGCTGAGGTGCTAGAGTGCAGACAGGGTTCAGACACTGGGTCACCTCTGGGTCGAAAAGAGAAGGATGGTCCTCAGAGAAGGACGACTGCCGTCTCGGGCCCCGTCTACTAATCCCCAAAGCATCGCCTCTATCACTTCCATCCGTTTTGAAGACAGGATCTCATTGATTTGTCCAAGAGACAAGGATCCAGGGTAGTTGGTTGGGCGCAGAGAGCAGAAAAACGGCGGTGGGGGTGGGGGGCGGGTGTCTCCTGGCGTGAGCACCAATTACCTGTAGCCCCTCTGGATCCGTTTCCTCTATTTGGAAAGAACCCCAGCCTAGGACTGGGGTCTCACTCTCCGGCCCGGCCACTTCAGGGATCCCTAAGTGCAGTAATCCCTGTCGTCAGTCTCTAGGCAAAAAGATAAATAAAATAACACAGAGCGAGACCGAGAAAGAAAAATCGCGAGACCTTTTGCACCGCCCATCCACCCCAGCCCCACCCCTCCGCCGGTGACGGGACGCGGCACTGGGAAAGAGCGGCCCGCCGCTCTAGACGACCAAGCAGCCGACTTGTCTATGGCTTCCACAACTGAGTCGATTGTGGCATCTAGTGGCCAAAAGTGGTAGGGCAGGCTGTTGGTTTTCTTTCAACTGGAAATTGTCATCTCAAAGACAAGGCTCATTTGGCATGCAGTTGCTCCCAGATAAACCTAATCAGAATATAGTTAGACACTCTTCAGGGAAAAGTCCAAGCATGTTTAAAAGTCCTTTTATAGCAATTCTATGATATGCTAGACTTTTCCCTTACGGCGTCCTGTGTCACATGGGCATTCTTTATTTTTCCTTTAGCTGAGATTAGGATTTAACTGTTTCCTCTGCTTCTATTTCTAAACAAAACTACTAGCCAGGCAAAGTGCCCGTAATCCCAGCACTTGGGAGGGGGAGGCAGGAGGAGTAGAAGTTCCGGGTCAGCTTCAAACTTGGTGAGTTTGAAGCCAGTCTGGGATACTGTGTTCTTGTCTCAAAACAATAAAATACTGTGATTAAAAAGTAAAAATAGCTGGATGGTGGTGGCGCATGCCTTTAACCCCAGCACTCAGGAGGCAGAGGCAGGTAGATTTCTGTGAGTTCGAGGCCAGCCTGGTCTAAAAGAACTAGTTCCAGGACAGGCTCCGAAACCACAGAGAAACCCTGTCTCGAAAAAAATAAATAAAATAAAAACACTTCATTTTGCTTTGCTGAGCGGTGGTATAATCCCAGCACTGGGAAGGCAGAGGCAGAGGAGGGTGAATTTCTGAGTTCGAGGCTAGCCTGAACTACAAAACAGAGGTTGCACACAGAGAAAGTCTCCCTCAGAGATCTCAAAAAACAAAACAAAAAAAACAGAAGCCCAACAACAACAACAAAAAAAAAAAAAAAAGAGAGAGAGGATCAGGAGGAGAAAGAAAGAAAAACAACGATCTTCAGAACTGCCCATACCTGTAATCCCAATTCAGGAAATTGAAACAGGAGTACCTCCATGTTAGGGTTAGCCTGGGCCACACAGGGAAACTTTGTCTAAACAAATAAAAAGAAAACTGGGGGGGTAAGAAAATAAAATACACTTCTTTAAAATAAGATTGCTAGATTGCTACTTAAGAATTGCACAGATTTATGGGGCATTGTGTGTTGTTTCCAAACACGAGTACATTGAAGAATATTCAATTTGCATATCATTTCTAGTTCTTCAACCATTGTTTTTCCTGTTTGAGACAAGGGTTCACGATGCAACTCTGGCTGGTTTAGAGCTAACTATATAGAGGAGGCTGGCCTCAAACCCATAGTCCCCCTTCCACTTCTCCAGTGCTACTGGTACAAGTGTGTGCCACCGACAGCCCTCATTGCTTTCTTTTTTCTTTCAGTTTGTTTTTTATATAATTTTAAGTGCATCAGTGTTTGCATTGGTGTTTTTAATATAATTTTATGTGCATTGGTGTTTTGTTTGCATGTAAGTTTGTGTGAGGGCGCAGTTGTCAGCTGCCATGTGGGTGCTGGGGATTGAACCTGGGTACTTTGGAGAGCTGCTGGTACTCTTAACCGCTGAGCCATATTTCCAGCCCATTTTTTGTTTTAGTTGTTTTGTTTTGTTTTTGTTTTTTTTTTAGCTTCATTTTATGTGCATTGGTGTGAGGGTGTCAGATTCCCTGGAACTGGAATTACAGACAGGTGTGAGCTGCCATGTGGGTGCTGGGAATTGAACCGGGTCCTCTGGAAGAGCAGTCAGTGCTCTTAATCACTGAGCCATCTCTCCAGCCCCTTTGTTTTGTTTTGAAGACAGGGTTTCTTCTTGTAGCTCTGACTGTCCTGGGACTGACTCTGTAGACCAGGCTGGTCTAGAAGTCAGAGATCTGCCTGCCAGTGCCTCCCCAAAGCACCACACGTAGCCAGTTCTCATTCTTTGTGGTTATATATATATATATATATATATATCATGGTCCTTCCTTCTAACCTTTTCATAAATACATACTAAACTATGTTGTGTTTTTATGGTCAACTTTTCTGTACAACAGAACAGCGAATCATATTTTCTTTTCTTTTCTTTTTTTACTTTTATCTTTTATTTATGAAGTGATTTTCTAATTTAAAAAACATTTATTTACTTTTATGTGTATGGGTATGAATGTATGTTTATGTACCATCTGCATGTCTGGTACCCTCAGAGTCAAGAAAAGGGCATCAGTTCTCTTGGAACTGGAATTATGGAAGGTTGTGAACTGCCGTGTGGGTGTTAGGAATTGAATCCCAGACCTCTGGAAAAGCAGCCAGTGCTCTTAACCACTGAGCCATCTCTCCAGCTTGGACTTTAAACTCTTTATTCTCCTGCCTCCACCTCCCAAGTGCTGAGATCACAAGTGTGTGCCATCATGTCTGGCTTTGTGTTTGATTTTTTTTTTAATTTTACGGAATGTTCCAGGAGTGGTGGTGCACACCTTTATTCCCAGTACTCAGTAGGCAGAGGCAGGCAAACCTCTGAGTTCAGGGCCAGCCTGGTTTAAAGAAAGGGTTCCAGGACAGCCAGGGCTACACAGAGAAACCCTGTCTAGTTCTAGTTCTCTAGTTCCATTCATTTTGTTTGTTGCAGATGACTTATCTCTTGTGTGTGTCTGTGTGTGTGTGTGTCTGTGTGTGTGTTTGTGTGTGTATGTCCATGTGTCTGTGTGTGTACATAATATTTTATTCTATTCATTCAGTTAATGGACACAGGTTGATTCTATTCTTTAGCTACTAACTAGCACACACCTCTTTTACTACTTAAAGTTAAAAATGGGATTCCCTGTAATCTTAACACTTAGTATGTGAAGGCAGGCAATAGATTTTGTGAGCTCAAGGCCAGCCTCATCTACACAGTGAGTTCTAGCCAGGTATATGAAGTGAAACTGTCTTCAAAAAATTGTTTTTGGTGGAATTGCAATGTTTTTTTGTTTTATTTTTATGACATATTAGTTAGTTAGTGTCCATATTAATAAGTCCATATTAATAAGTACATACTGTTTTTTTTAAAGATTTATTTATTTAGTAGACAGTGTTCTGCCTGCATGTCTGTCTGCAGGCCAGAAGAGGGCACCAGATCTCATTATGAATGATTGTGAGCCAC